CTGGGTCATAAACCTTGTGGTATACAACTGCAAATTTTGAGGATTGAATACTTAGAAAAATTCCTTGTTGTAATGGAAAAATATTGTAAGAATATTCCCCACATGCCACAGCCTACTATACTCAAATAAATCTCAACCTTGTTTTTGTTTCTAGAAAGCTTTTTTCTAAATTGGAAAAAAGTAATGTGATCCTAAGCAGCTTAAAGCAGGATGTGTCATGAGGTGGGCCAAAATTCCCCTGAGAATAGTTCCACACAGAGGCAAAGAAAGATATTGTAGATCTTATGACATACTCAAATCAAATTACATCTTACTGTGACCGCTACTATTTATTTTTTTAATTGTGAAAATACTGTACAGAGGGGTTACAATTACATGGGCAAGATAGTGAGTACATTTCTTATCAAGCATTGTAGCCTCCTCCTTTGTTTGAAGCCAAAAATAGGTTACAAACAATCAAAGAAGAATATTAGCCCTGTATTGCTGTGTTAAATTTGGAGACAGGAAGATAAAGTAATCTGGATCCCTTTAAGATGGCTGAATAGCCAGGCACCAATAGCTCATACCTGTAATCCTAGCTACTCAGGAGGCTGAGATCTGAGGGTCACAGTTCAAAGCCAACTTGGGCAGGAACGTCTGTGGGACTCATATCTCCAAAAACTACCAAAAAACCAGAAGTGAAGCTGTAGCTCAAGTGGTAGAGCACTAGCCATAAACAAAAATAAGCTCATGGACAGTGTTCAGGCTGGAGTTCAAGCCCCAGGACTGGCACCCGCTGCCCTCTTCCCCGCCCCCCCCCCAAACAAAAGATGACTGACTAGAAATAATGTTACAACAGAAGCTTCCTTCATGTAATTAACTCCATGAATGAGAGGAGTCAGAGTAATGAAGAAGAGACTATTCCAAAGAAAGGATGAGTATCATAAACCATGAAATAGGTGAAAAGAGAGTTGAAGTCCCTTGGAGGAATAGATAGGCCACCCACCAAGAAGTAGGAAACATCGCACAGCATTGAACTAAAGGAAAAGGAAGCCAAATTGACAAGGTAAGCCAGACAGTTTTGGCAACATACTAGCAGTCCTAACTACAGGACAAACCAACAGCCCTTGCAAGTTTAAATTCAGTGTATGAATTTATTGTGACAATCAACCTTCTCACATGACAGACTAATATTGGGAACTATGGCTGGGAGCCATCTTGACAGCTACACTAGGGGCCTGAAAACAAGGGATAAATGTGAGTCTGTCTAGAAATTTGAGGACACCTAATGATACACAGGGTGAAATACAACCAGGAGACATAGTTATGTTATGAGGAGGTGCAGGGTTGGACTTGGACCCACTGACAAGCCTAGGTCTTAGGAAACTTAGGCTGTAAAAAGCATAGATATTGGTAGTTCTAGACACTGTAGTGCAGAAGGAACTCCATCACCTGTGTATAATCAAGAGACTGAACCATCCAAGCCAATCAAGGGACTGCTCAATATCTGGGAATGCATCCATGTCAAATGTGGTAGCTGGTAGGTGGGACTGAGAGCTCTGAGAACTCAGAGCTTAATTCTAGTGGGTTATTCTTTCTCTAGTTGCCTCCTTCCTGCAGGGTGATTTATTGTTGGTCAGATTCAGAAATGTCTATTTTGTTGAAATCAAATGCCAGATATCCTTAGTCCCCCCCAACAAGTGAAGATCTCAAGGCTCTGTTTGCATAGACTCTGTGGAAATCCCTAAGTTTGGACATTTATTATCCATGTATGCACAGAAATATGGGTGAAAGGAAGGTGCCTAGCCAACAGCTATGGTTCTTAGGGCCAGCAGCAACTCTAGGTACAAAATGATATCTTAAAGTGAATGCAACCCTGATGCTCACAACTAACCTTTGACTAGCCCCGCCCTCACACACAATTCAACTTGAAACAATTGTTATAAGGGCTTGTTATTTCCTCTATGAGTGATCCCTCAAGAAAATATAGCTAAGAAGTCAAGGAATAAAATTGGAAGAGGTATCTATTTTAAAAGACATGGAAGGATCAAAGAAACAGCTGAATGAAACTTGATCTGGATGAGACAGTCATCGACACAGATTAGTAATTCAGGAAGGATATGGGGATTGTGGGGGGAAATGAGAAATATGAGAGGAAGCAAAATGACAGGTTAGAAGCATCCACTATTTTTATTTCATGAATGAGAAAAATCAAGTAACACCGGTGCTACTAGAGTCTGAAGATAGGGAAGGAACAGTATCAGGAACCATAAAAAGTTCATCAGAGAGGCAGGAGACCACAGAAAAACAGGGGGGCTGGGGGAATAAACAACAAACAAACCAACAAACTAACAAAAAACAGCAAGAAGTTCCAAGCAGGCCCTACTGGTTCCAGAAGAGAAATGAAAGCAAAAAACTTCATTACAAGTTAAAATAGATGGACCCGATAACAAACTGCCATTTCTAACTGCACAATAAGTTCACACCCCAATCCTTAAATCCAGAGTAGGGATCTGTGATACAGTAATGGTTCTGGTGTGGAATGCTAGCCTTGGTGAAGAAAGACATCTGTGTCTACCACCTTACTTCAGGGGACAACCAAAAGATTCCATGTTGAGAGAGAGCCTGCTACTTGGAACTGGAACACTCTGAGGGGGGTGGAGGGTACTGACAAACAAGACACACTCAGGCTCAGGGAGTGTTGGAACATCATGTCAAATTTGGGGTGAAAAACCTCCATGAGTAGTGGTCAAGGATGTGTAGGCTGAGCCATGAGATGTGCAGAGTTTAAGCTGTGAGAAACCATTCAGGCAGCATAGAATATCAGAAGCTTAGGCACCTGCAACTGCTAGGCTACTGTCTACTGGCTGCTACAGTTTAGGTACAAAGTGTAGTAACCGCCTGTGTCTGTGCTTACCTAGATCTCCACAAGGGCAGCAACTACCTAGGTTCCCACACATTAGGAAGAATTGAATCTACCAAAGTCCCCATCTGCTGGAAAGAGCATAGACCACCCATTTCACCATCCTCTGAGAACATCTGCAGCCACCTAAGTCCCACAAGGAAGTCCCCTGCATCCATCCTGCCAGGGAAATGCTTAGTGGAAACTGTGTAAGAATGGGGGTGGTAAGGTCCCAAGCCTCAGAAATCATCACAGGAGATTAAACAGATCTCCAAATTCATAGTCCTTAAATTAGAAAACAAGTAACAATGAACTCCACTCTAGACTCCAATCTAAAGACTGCCACCTTCTGGTTCTAAATGTAGAGATAAATAAAAGCTAAGATATTTGAATGGTCTTAATATATTTAACACTGCTAATGCCACGTACAACCGAGAATTTTTTCTGGCAGTTTTGGATTCAGAGTCCGAATTCCCAACTATGTAGCCTTGAACACATTTTGGTAAAGCACTCTATTTTTCTTTTTTTAAAATGAGGACAAAATTAGAACTTAAAATATGTACCTGAGATTGAATTGTTTAACTCAAAATATATATTGAAGTTCTTCTATTCCTTGGTCTCACTGGATTAGATGAAAGGGACAATTTGAGGAATCAAACAGTTAGACCATTCAGCACTTAAAAATTATACAATTCCCAGCCTGTCCGGATAGCATGACCTTAAAACAGGGCTTAAAGTTGGTCTGGCCACATATTTGTTAAGGTTTGTAGGCCTGGGATTTATGAATCCACTCAACCATTTCAGTAGAAGCCAAAAACAGACATGAAATTTAACCATGAAGGATATGAGGAGAATCTTCATGTCTAATGGTGTGGATTTCCTTAAAACTACAGAAAATCAACATACAGTGTCAGAGTTGTTTTTTTTAAAGATCTGCTTTAAAAGCCTAGCAGCTGCTGCAGAGAATAGAAAGAATGGCATTTCACAAAAGAATGGCCCAAATGCAGAAGAGATGATATCCAAAAGATAGGCATTCTCTTCTTCAACTTGACATTGGCTATTTGTGTATCAAAAGTCAGAGCCTATTATTTCTTTTTTTTCCAAATTCTTTATTGTGATTAAGTGATTACATAATTTCCCAAATTTCACAGTATTGTGGAATAATGATGCTTAAAGTCACAACACATTCTAACTTTCATGGGGCAAATTGTCTATTGTGATATGTACATTTCTTTTGTTTTACATAGCATCAGCTGTTTCCTCTTTCCCACTCATTGCAGGGAACCAAGTGCTGTTTGCTAGAAAATACAGCTACTACCTTAAATAAGAGCTGTTAAGCCTTGGAGCCTATTGATACCTTGTTTGACAACATTGCTTGGAGCCACCACTTTGCATAAGAGCCGTTAAGCCTTACAATTTACCATTGTCCTGTTTGACAACATTGCTTGGCGCCTTCTGAAGATTCCCCACCTATGATCTTTTGCAAGATATACTTTGCAGTTTTGGTGCCTAGCAACCCTATTGACCTGCTGATGCTAATTACCCTACTCAGCATGTTATATATACTGCTGTGTAAAAAATAAAGTTTGAGACCTTGATCAGAACCCTGTCTTGGTCTCCTTCCTGGTGGTCTGGTTTGTCTCTCATTCAGGTCAGTTCCTCTTCGAGCCCTTGTTGACCGACCCCGCGGGCCGGGGCAACTCATTTCAGTTTTATGTCTTCAGAAATCATGCCAAAGGAGGAGATTGGGAGAAAAGTCATAAAGTTTATATGCCAGAAAGTGTGGGTCTACTTATGTGCAGAAATAAGAGCAGGGCCCCCCAGTAGAGCTAAATAATAGTGCACTAAACCACAAGTGATTATTCTATTACCTTGGAATTCAAGAAATTCTCATTACTAGTTTTAGATTTGTTTGAAGCAATTCGCTTTTGTTCCTTCCAAGTTATTCATTTCTTCCATTGTAAATAACTTTTTATTTTACAATTCTTTCCTTATCCCATCATTGTATATTGGAATCATTTAGCTTACTATTGAGGTTCCACAATCCACAGATGGAGAAGAGGTTTTTTTTTTAAATATTCAAGTTTATTTAACAAATTTTAAAAGTATTATAAAATGTTTAGCTTTCATCAGCTTCCAGGTTTATGTTGCTGCCAAATTTCACATATAGCTGAACTTTCAGATCTCTCTGCATGGCTGCCACTCTTGATACTAAGGTGTCAATTTCTTCTTGCAAGTTTTTCTTTGCGTCTACTAACATATGTTGGTTTTCCTCCTGAGAGTGGCTAATGAACACATCTCCAATTTGATAGGGTATCGTTATGCAGTCGTCATCTGCAAGCATGATGGCATCACAGGCATCTTCTAAGTTTTGGAGCTGTTTCTTTTTTACTTCTATTTCCTCCTTTAGCTCTGTGATTCTACTTGTATTCCGTGCAAGTTTGTTTAACTTTTGTTGATCTTCAAAAGTGACGCTGATATCTTCTGCAGCCTCCTTCTTCCTGGTGGCCCTGAAGAAGAGTTTTTCCACAGGATAATTAATACCCAATGGCCTTAACCCAAGTGATAAAGATAATTTAGAAGGTGAAATTTAAGAACTTCTTAGCTGGGTGCTTGTGGTTCTTGCCTATAGTTCTAGCTACGCAGGAGGCTAGATCTGTGGATTACAATTCAAATATATACTGGGCAAGAAAGTCCATGAAACTCTTATCTCCAATTAAACACCAAAAAAGTAAGAAGTGGATCTGTGGCTCAAATGGAAAAGGGTTAGCCTTGAGCAAAAAAAAGTTCAGGGATAACCCTTGAGCAAAAAAAAGTTCAGGGAGAGTAACTAGGCCCTGAGTTCAAATTGCTGCAGAATCTGAACCAAAAAACAAAACAAATAAAAACCTTGATCATTAACTTTAGATATTTTGGATTTATATTTGATTCTGGAATAGATTAAATGTAGTCAGGATGTTAAGATGGTCTGAACACATTTTACAGGTGAATAAACAGTAAGATCCTTGGGAGAATTGGGGTCAGAAGGCACTGTTATGAACTAAATTGTGCCAGCCCAAAAGATACACCAATGAAATAATGTTTTCCAAGCCCTCAAACAAAACATCTGCCAAACTAGATTATCGTGTTTAGCAAAGCTTCCTTTCATAAAAAAAAAAAAAAGCCAGATGTTGGTGGCTCATAACTGTAATCCTAGCTATTCAGCAGGCTGAAATCTGAGGATCACGGTTCAAAGCCAGTCTGAGTAGGAAAGTCTGTGAGATACTTATCTCCAATTTACCACCAAAAAGTCTTAAGTGGAGCTATGACTCAAGAGATAAGAGTGCTGCTCTTAAGCAAAAATGCTCAGGAACAGGGTCCAGGACCTGAGTTCAAGCCCCACAACCAGTAACAACAACAATGAAAATCCCTTCCATGACAAACAAAAACAAAAGAGAAGATGGTGCCCATTGTTTTGACTCCATGAATGAGAAAAGTTAGGGTAACAAAGGAGAGAATGCTGAAGAAAGGAATATCATTAAGAATAACGAAAGAGGTAGAAGAGAGAAGAAAATCACAGAGAAATGGAAACAACAGAGAAAACCAGAAAACAGTTAAACATCCTGATATTGGCCCCTAGGAAGGGAGGATGAAACTGAAGACACTATCACAATCACAGATGGCCCTGGTGACAAAATAATAATTTCAGCTTCAGAATAAGACCATACCTCTTCCAAATCTTAAATACAGGGTTGTGAAGGAAAAACTGGTAGAAAATGAGGGAGAAGGTGATACTGTTCAAAAAGAAATGTACTCATTACCTGACTTATGTAACTATTAGCCCTGTGTACATTACCTTCACAATATTTTTTTAAATAGTTAAGGGAAAATATAAAATAAAATACAGCGTAGTGATTTGGTGAGACAATGACTAGTCCTGTATGAAAGGTTAACCTTGATAAAGGAAGAAATTCTGTAGCTCCCCTCACTAGTGAAACCAATCAAGGTGCAATCTTGACACAGGCCTATTGATTGAGACTGAGTTACTTTGGAGGCTTGAAAATAAGAAACAATCATTTCAGAGAGTGTTGGGACACAATGCCATAGTGTCTGAGTAGAAGATATCCACAAAAGATAGTAATAGAAAGAGAGAGACTGATAGAATTCCAAAGAGAAGTACAGGTAATAGAGAGCTTTGGAAGCAAAACCAAATTGGCACAATTGTCAGATACTGTGATCCCCCAGGTAGGGAACAAGGCTCATGGCCTGAGGGTTGCACTAGAAACAAACACTGACCCTTTGGGTGGCATACTATTTATTCTTTAAAGTCTACCTCCTAGTTGTATCTGTTGGCTGTAGGTAAGACTAAGAACCTTGGCTGCTTTTCTTCAACAAAGAGATGAACAGCAATACATGACCTAAAAGCCTTAAAGCCCACATGTGGTATCTGCCATGTTTTTGCTGCATGTCTTTGAGGGCCGTAAAGCACACATTTGGTGTGCATCCTCCACACCCCACGCATAAGATCTGTAAACACTGAGACGTACCTCTAGGAATTGCAACCTGGTGAATGTTACAAGGTGTGATAGAATGCCCTGAGTCTAAATCCTCAAAATTAGATGACTTTTACAGTTTACTCCAAAACCCTCAGACAGACAGATTACTTGATAGCTTCTGGGAACACTGAAGCAGAAGGCAGAGAGGCTCAATTCACCTTCTTGTCACTATCAAACTCAATGCTCTATTTGCACATTCCATTTGCTGATGCATTCAGGGATTACCACTAGGATTAGATATTTGCTGCATAAATCAATAAATGTAATACAGGATATAAAAAGAATCAAAGACAAATGTATGACTAACTTAATTGATGCAGAAAAAGCCTTTTCTACATGATAAAAAGCCTTTTCTCTCATGATAAGAGATATGAAGAAACTAGGAATAGAAAGAGTGTGCTTCAATATAATAAAAGCTATATATGATAAAGGTTGTTTTTTGTTTTTTGTTTTGGTCGTGAGGCTTGAACTCTGGGCCTAAGCGCTGTCCCTCAGCTCTTCAGCTCAAGGCAAGCACTCTACCACTTGAGCCACAGCACCACTTCCAGTTTCTGGTGGTTTATTGGAGATAAGAGTCTCACGAACTTTCCTTACTGAGCTGGCTTTGAACCATAATCCTCAGATCTCAGCCTCCTGAGTAGCTAGGATTACAGGCGTGAGCCACCGGGGCTCGGCTTTTCTATGATAGCTTTAAACGTCATCATTCTATATAGGAAATAGCTGTAATCATTTTCTCAGAAGTCAAAAGTGAGACAAGGATATCTACTCTCTGCACTCTTTCACAATATAGTACTGAAACTTCTAGCCAGAGTAATGAAGCAAGAGAAATAAATAAAATAGATTCAAACAGGAAAGTAAAACATCAAATTATTTTTGTTTATAGATGATATCATCCTATTCTTAAAATACTCTAAAGATTCCACACCAAAAAACCTTTTAGATCTAATTATGACTTTTAACATTGTAGCAGCATATAAAATCAACACACAAAACCAGTATCTTTTCTATTCATCAACAATGAACAGTCTGAGAAAGAAATCAGGAAAACATTTCCATTCACAACAGCTTTCCAAAAATACCTAGACACAATTTCTTTTTTATTATTAAGTAGTTGTACAAAGAAGAATTACAATTCCATACCCACATAAAAATTTAACAAAGAAAGTGAAAGTAGCGCCAGGTGGTAGTGGCGCAAGCCTATAATCTTTAACTATTTGGGAAGCTGAGATCTGAAGAATGTAATTTGAAGCCAGCTCAGCCAGACAAATCTAAAAGGTTCTTATCTCCAGTTAAGTAATAAAATCCAAGAACTGGAGGTATAGACCAAGTAGTAGAGCACCACTCTCCAAGAGCATAAGGCCTGAAGTTCAAACCTGAGTATAAGAACAACAACAACTAAAACAGCACTATAAAACATTGACAAAGACATTAGAAGATGAAAAGACTTTCCATGTTCAGGCTCGGCAGATTTAATATTGTAAAAATTACCGTAGCACTGGGATAATCTGTAGATTCAAAGCAATCAAAGATAATTCAATATAGAGATACAAAAGTTAATCCTAAAATTCATAGCACAAAAGACAGCCAAAGCAATCTTTTTTTTCTTTTTTTTAATTGTGAAAATACTGTACAGATGGGTTACAATTACATGAGCAAGATAATGAGTACATTTCTTTTTTTTTTTTTTTATTGTAAAGATACTATACAGAGGGTTACAGTTACATGAGTGAGGTAATGAG